TCACCTGCGCGCTCGCATCAAAATCCGGCGCGGTATTTCTGCGACTAACACCACGTCCCAGCTGCCTGCGTCTCCCACTTATACTAGTTCAATGATTTCGCGTTGCAGGTTGTCTTTGAAAAAGTGAATATATTTGAGTTAACAGGCAGTAAACCAGCAAAGTGTAGGCGCATAACCACCAATAACTCCTTTTCGCGGTAACAAACACACACACATATACATATGTTATATACACACATACATATATATACAAACAAATCATTTTGAACGCAAGCAAATAAGCGTGTTCCTGTTTCAATGTCTGTGTGTGTGTGTGTGCGTGTGCTTCCAAGTCTTTATGTCGGCTGCTTAGCGCTCACCAAGTCATTGCTATTCAACTTGTAAGTCAGCACCTTCATGTATGTCTTCATATGCCTCGGCATATTTATGCGGTAGTTAGTGACATTTTTCATACATCATAACATATATGCAAAAGTTACGCGTCTCTTTCCCTCACCACACTTCCTTAAAAATTCTTACTTTTTTACATTTCAACATTTATTTTTTTACAATCCTGCCATATTAAGTTTTGCAGTACTTCCTTCTGTAGTGGCGTGACGTGTATGAAGCCACATACATAACACGCCTGCAGGAAAAATTTTGCTTGGAAAAAGTTATATGAACAGAAGCATTTTAGTAAAAATATCAGACCGCAAATTGCTGCACAAAATTTTCTTATCAAAAAAAACAAAAAGAAGGTGGTTGCTGGTTTTCTAACATAATGTGAATTTAAACACAACTGTCTATTTTATAAGTAAACCGCATTCCGCTCTCTTCTAGCCTATAATACTTTTAGATCTTTTTCAGACCAGTTAATACACACAAGGTCGACAAATTGCAAGCATTGTAAGCCATTAAGTTTAAAATAAAAATTCACTCAATTTTCTTTTGTTGTAGATCTAACTTTTAACCTAATTTCGCAAGAACTAAAGGTCTTTGTATATCTCTCTCTTTCTCTCCCTCTCTGTCTCGCAAATCTATTATTAAATATCCTATACGCAGCTGAATGGTTATAGCGTTATTGTCTAAAACGAGATGAGACTATTTCTCGTCGTCAAAACGGTAATACGAACACACAATATGTGAATTGCTGTGTGAGTTCTTATTGAAATGAAAGCTCGTCCATATATTCATCTTCAATTTTTCTTACTTACTGTGTAACAGACTTTATAGCCAGAAACCCACAGCTCAAGCCCTCGAAGTTTTCAATTAGAGCTTGCGCTATGCACAATGAAAGAAACGTCGCACTCAAACGCTACCGTTTTAGGAGACAATATGCTTTTCTTTTCGAAATAGGTCCAGTGACATTAAAGACATGACCGAACACTATTTCCTACAGGGCCACTACAGTTCATATGCATAACATGCATGTCATACTCGCATTGCATTGCCATATACTATCTGTCTATGTACGTGTGTATGTAAATATCTCTTAAGCTCCCCAAACGGTTATTATTAAAATGAATCGCGCTAGCAATAACAACAGTAATAACAAATATAAGTATAAAATGTTAACGAAAACTGACGACAATTTATAAAACCTCAAAAGTTTATTGGGACGTATATTGCTACTCATTTGCTAACTGTTGTTTTCTACTTTTATTGCACTCCTTTGATATTTGTAAGTGTGTGCGTTTGTGGATGATTTTTGTCAAAATATGTTTATTATACTATCTAAAGCTGAAAAATTTGCCAAATATGCAGATAAGTGCTCATATATGCTTTGCGTCTTTAGAGCTTTTAAGTTTGCCTCAGGAATTCCTGACATGTGAGTGAGTGCCCGTATGACACGAATAAAATTTGGTATGAGGAAAAATTAAAAAAAAAATTATTGAATATAAACGTTTCAAATTTTAGTCATATACTCTCTTATAACTGAACAAACCTATACGTGAAGTGTCCTAGGCGCAAAAAATTAGGTTAAAATCATTTTGTGGATTCAGAACTCATTAAAATTTCCAAAAGCACACATTTATGAATTAATACAGTTTGATTCAGGCTTAAACAGTACCAACTCACCTGTCAATTACCAAAAGCTCTCGCTAAAATTTTCGAAAGCTTTTACTACAAAAGCTCTGTCGAAAGCTTGCATTTATGAATGTTTTGTTTTGATTCAGTCTTGAACTGCAATAACTCACATCAGAATTTCTGAAAGCTCTAATTAAACTTTCTAAAAGTTTTCACTTATGAATGACTTGTGCTTAGATTCAGGCTTGAACTGCAGCAACTCACATCTCAACTTCCGAGTGCCCCTATTAAAATTTTCAAAAGTTTTTTTAAAAAAATTTTGTTCAGGTTCAGGCTTTAACTCATTGAAAGCTCTTGTTAAAATTTTAGAAAGCTTTCATTTATGAATGATATTGTTATAATTTAGGCGTGAGCTGCAGCAACTCACATTTTTTATTTCCGAAAGCTTTCCGTAAACTTTCCAAAAGCTTTCACTTATAAATGAATTTTTTTAATTCAGACTTTAACTACCACAACACGAATGCCAATATCCGAAAGCTCATTTTAAAACTTCCGAAAGCTCTCATTAGAGATTCACACAAAAGCTTTCCATTGATTTATATTCAATTTTTTCGATTCTTCCCTGAATTCATTGAAATCTTCTGATCGCTAGTGTATCTATTTATTCTTTGTATGTGAGTTTAAATAGACAAATATGCATGTCGTCTCCAATCACACACAAATCACATTACCATTTTATTCGCAGCACTTGTGAACTTCCTCGATTTATGTCACTCCTTAGAATGCTACCGTTGAGTGACTGTAGTATGTAAATAGTCTCCTTTTTTCACCAGCCATATTTTTTAAACACACTCCCACACCCAACCACCCGCCCAGCGACAATCATATGCACGCGGTAAAGCACACATGGGCAAATTTGCTTTTTCCGCCGCAACGGCTTCCAACTTCAACTCTGATTTTTGAAAAACACCGCAGTAAAGACATCATAAATTGCGGTGCTGCAGAAAAACTATTTCACCTTCGCGAATTGCAGCAACAACGGCACATATGCACGCGTCTGTTGTTGTACATGTGTATGTATGTATATATCTTTGGTATGTGAGCTTTCATGAAAGCCTGTATCGGCACACACGAAAGCGGGCTGCCAAAACAGGGAAGTTCAATTGTATTGGTTGGGCGCTGTTGCACTGCGTCTGTTCGTGTATTGAGGGAGGTACGAGTACATTTCGTATGATTGTGCAACCCATAATCAGCCCCGAGGCAGACAGACAGCCAGCCAGCACAGCTGTTTGCACCTTCGCCGTTACAATAAATAAATAAATGGAACCACAATTGAATTTATTTTTCAACTGCCAGTTTTTTAAAACATCCGTATTTCGAATGTGGTGTGAGAATTGCGAATGAAAACATGCGATGAAGCCTACTGAGGCAAAGCTTGAGCGAATGGCAGGGGTAATAGTATATTGGGTGAGAAGCGAAAGTAGTGCTACGAAAAACAGTTAGTTTGTCAAATTAACTGCAAATGTGCTGTCAGCTGTCGTTAGCGGTATTATGACAGTTGGCTGGTTGAAAAACTTTTAGCCTAATGACTCTTTTACGCAAAACAGACAGACAGAGCACCTTCAGAAATGGGGCCATATATTAATATGGCAAAAAATATTAACCGTATTATAAATAGGTAGTTGTAAGGAGGAGTACAAACGAATAGTTTAAAGAGTAAAGAAAACTTTACTACAACTAAATCTTAAATGCAGACTATTCTCCTTTTTTATGACTGATATGTACTCTACAATTTGCGAACAATTTCAAATAATATTTTCTGAAAAGTTCCTAGGAAGTCGAATGTCGAAAAATGATGCTGATAAATCGTTTATACTTCATTTTTTATAGTTTACCAAAATTAATTGGTACAAATTTAGATAAAAGCTCTAAAAAAAAGTTTTGCTAAATCTCAAGAAATAAAAAAGTCAAGACATAAAAAATTTGAGATAAAAGCTCAAAAAATAAAAAAATTTAAGAAAATCTCAAGAAATTTAGAAGGGTGTAGATAAAAGCTCTTGAAAACAAATTTTTTTTAGAGAAAAGCTCAAAAAATATAAAAGCTTAAGGCCTAAAAAAAAATTAAGATAAATGTTCTATAAATTAAAAAGGTTTTTGATAAAATCTCAAGAAACATAAAAGCTTAAGACATAAAAAAGTTTAGATAAATGTTCTATAAATAAAAAAGGTTTAGATAAAATCTCAAGAAATATAAAAGCTTAGGACGTAAAAACGTTTAGATAAAAGCTTAGGAAAAAAGTTTTGACAAGAATTTTCAAGAAATAAGTTTAGATAAAAGCTTAAGACATTAAAAACTGTTTGAATCAAAACTCAAGATATAAAATAAATTAGATAAAAGATTAACACATAATAAAAAATTTGTGTGAAAGTTAAAAAAAAAATGTGTGATACAAAAAAGAAAAGCTTAAAAGAAGAAAGATTACAAAAAAAGTTTACAATAAAACTATCGAAATAAGAAAAGTTTAGATAAAAACTCAAGAAATATTAAAGCTTAAGACATTGAAAAGTTTAGATAAAAGCTTAAGCCCAAAATGTTTGGTCAACAAATAAATAAAAATGTTGACTAAATTTGAGACATTAAAACAGGTGTAGTAAAAGTTCAAGAAATTAAAAAGCGTATGACATAACCAAAGTATAACTTTAAGCCCAAGACAAAATAATTTAAAAAAAAAGCTCAATTAATATTTCAAGTTTAGGTGAAAGCTCAATAGATGAAAGCATCTTACTTAACTCTTTAATACCTCACTAAAACTAGTTTTATTAAATTAAATTAAACTACTCTCACTAATAATGCGTATCATTAGAATTTTGAAGAGCATTTTATTTAAAAAAGTTATACAAAACACACAAAATATTAAATACAAACTTTATGTGAAAGTTTAAGTAATAAAAATATAACATTGTGTACTTACTTCCTTCTCACTTTGTTGCAGTGTTCGGTTTGGACTCACCACTCGGTCTCTTTCCACCAGGCATTGACCCAGGCAAACTCTATAACCCACTAATGGAAATGTCCGATCCACGTGGCATGCCCAGCGATCATCCACCGCCCTTTCTTAAAGGCAAGAAAAGTAAGTAAATGTAAATGATTAAAACTTGCATATCGAAGTATTTACAATCACCGTTTGAATTTCTATAATCGTCACATTCAAACAAGCAATTAACCTCGCAATTGAACCTGAAATACGACGCTCCAATTATTCACAAGCTAAACAAAACAAATACAAAGTGTCTAACGGTATCTTTCCGATACTTCTTCAAAGGCCTATAATTGAAAAGAGTAAAATTCATCGAAAAAGTAAATTTTCACACCTGAGTAGCGTTCACAACGAAATTGCCCTTTTGCCACTGCATGTTTATACACTTTGCGCATGCGCACCCAATTAACTGCATTGATCTTGTACTTTTGCTCACGTACTTGATCCGTTGGGCTACTGTGGATCAACGATCGTGGCACTTGAGTTGAGGCATGCGCATTTCCGTTTTATTTGACTTTCTACATTTTAATATCGCTCTTTTTTTTGTTGTTACGCGTCGATCAGTGATCGATGGCAATCGTTATTTTTTAAACGATTAAAATATTTTAGTTACAGTTTTACTGCGGGTGTAAGTTAATTTTAGTTATTTAAAAAGTACGAGAGCGACGTGTAACTGAAAGTATTTTAATTAGCGGTACTTAGACCGCACTTGAAAGTACAAAACTTTCGCTTGCAGAAGTAGTGAATAATGACAGTAAAAGTTTCAGGCGAAAGCTCGTATTAAATATAATACGCTAATGAAATTAATTAAGTAATAGCTAAAGCTTACGCTTGTTGCAACACGCTACAATTTCAAATATTTCCTTACATTATAATTCGAAACTAAATTTTGATATGAGCAAATATAGTTAAAACTTTCACTTAATTTCGAGATGGAGAAATAGCTATATTTCTGAAGCTTTTACTTGAAACCTTTTGATACATACTCTGATTCAAATTCTCTCGAAATATTTCCACCAGTTGCGCACACAATTCATTTGTAGCAGCAAAAAAGCTTTCATCGAACTCATTTCACTCGAGCTTTCATTTGAATTGTCGCATATTATTTCAACCAGTTCACCAAAAAATTCATTACTTAAAAGTTCAAGCTTTCATTTGGTATTTTTTAATATTATACCCAACAGCGCACGAAGCTTTATATGGATGAAGCTATCACATAAGCTTTCACTTTCACTAGTTAAAGTCTGAAACTGCTACAACTTAGACTTTTGCTTGATGCTTGAAATGTCTACAAATCAATTAATTTATTTCATATTTTAATTAAAATTTCATGGCTGTGTTTCAGAAAGCTTTCATCGAACTCATTTCACTCAAGCTTTCATTTGAATTGTCTCAATTTATTTCTACCAGTTCAGCAAAAAAATTCATTTGTAGCAGCAAGTTTATAAAGCTGAAGCCTTCACTTGGTATTTTTTATTATTATATCTGAAAGCTCACGAAACTTTATATAGTTGGAGCTTTCACTTAGCTTTAGTTTTTATTTTATTTTTATTGTTTGTTATACACTCAAACTTTTGGGATTTTTATTATAACTTTTTAAAATTTAATTAAGATAACTTTTACAAAGCTTATACCAAATATCTTTCATCTAAGTTTTCATGTAAAATTTATCGAAAGCTTTGAACTTTCAATTGCCACTTCTTGGATGTGAAAGTGTCTTTATTTGTTTTAAAATGTTTCTTGAAAATTTAAAATGTGTTTTAGAAAGCTTTCACGAAACTTTATATAGTTGGAGCTTTCACTTGGCTTTATTTTGTTAACGGCTTAAACTTTTTTTTTTTATTATAATTCTGAAACTGTATATAGAGAACTTTCATAAAGCTCATATCATATAAAAGATTTGGTCCAAGCTTTCATCTGAGCTTTCATTCCAAGTAAAAATATTCGTATTAATCAAAGATATTTCCGCCAGTTGACCAACAAATACATTTGCAACAAACATGCATACATATCTACGCATGCATACAGACGTACATAGGTGTCATGCACTCAATCGTCCAAATGACGCGCTATTATTAGCGTCATTGTCGCTGTCGCTATCGTTGACGCCAATCCATATCACATGAGGCGGTAAATTCAATTTTGTGGTTTTCCTGCATCGCTCAACCGAATGCGCATGTGCGCCTAGGCATGTCAGCCGTAGTGAAAAAGCGGCACAAAAACGTTATGCATACATATGCACCTCTTCATGCACACTCAACTACATGTGTGTGTGTGTGTGTGCACTGATTTTATAGCCGCCAAGTAAACGCATCGTTTGCTATAAAAACTGTGCAATTTTTCAATTATTCAAATCGATACTTCACATTCACTGCACAATTCGCTGCTACATGTGTGCGTGCGTGTGTATGTATGTATGGCATTATATTTGTTGCACGATGGGAAATGCTAAGTTTATGTGCAACATTCGGAAAACCTCAAATAGTTAATGAGTTTTTTCTGCACATCGACCGCATTACAACTCAATTTCTTTTTTCCTGCTTGCTTATGTAGTTGTTGTTGTTTTTTGTTTTTGTTTTTGTTGTTGTTTATTGTATTTTTTGTTTTCGTTTGTTCACCTTTAACATTTATCCATAAACAAGATCAATAACAAACTAGCAGCAAACAACAACAACACCTCCCCATCACACGAACAATAGAAGATCGTTTTTGTTGCACTAACACACGCACGCAAAAATACACATATATACAAATAAGCATATTTACAAACAAATATATTTATATAGGTACATACATATAAACTGTTACATTATGCCTGAAAACCAATTAAAACAATTGCAGCACGCAAAGCAAAAACAAATACATTTACATTTTTTAGTTTGAAAAATTTGCTTAGTCACATGATTGACAGCAGTGAAATAGCCGTGAAGAGAAACACATCGCTTTTTTGTGAATTAAATACTTACACGCCTCACAAGCAATTATATGTGCTTTTACTTGGCGCTTAGCATAAAACACTGCTTTACCATTTACTTAACATACTACTACATATACATATATACGCGTATGTATGTATGTATGTATGTTTGGTACATAGTTTGTGCGTATGCAGATGTGTCTGCTGTTGATAAGTCAAATCAGCGATTTTTGATTTTTGACAAGCTCATTTTGAGTTCGACAACCGGGCTACTCAGCACTGAGCCGTTAATGTGACAACTTACATGACACTCACTTTGATGAGATGGATGCGAAGTACAGACTATTAACAGAAACAATATGTTCACGTATGCAATTGAAGTTAGAACAAGAAGTTGCCAACATTTTTATAAAAACAAGAAAAAAAGTCAAAATCACAAATAAAACTGTTTCAATCCAAGAAATTGATTTTCATCAGTTAGTTTGTATGGCAGCCTTATGCTATATTGATGCAATCGGAACAATATATTAAGAAATTGTAGCATTGTCTTGGGCAATAACCCATGCCACATTACGTGAAGATATCTTGTCAAATAAAAAAGTTTGCCATACAAGCATTTGATTTTGGTCGTTTAGTTGGTATGACAGCTAGATGCTAAAGTGGCCCGATCGGAAGAATATATTCACAAATTTTAGGATTGTCTGGGCGATAATCCACACCAAACTTCGTGAGGATATCTTTTAAAATGAAAAAGTTTTCCACACAAGGGCTTGATTTTGGCGGATCAGTTTGTTGACAGCTATAGGCTATAGTGGTTCGATCTAAACAATTTGTTTGGAGGTTATAGCGTTACTTTGAATAGTATTCTATACGAAATTTCGGGAAGATATCTTGACAAATAACAAAATTTTTCATACAAGGATTTGATTTTCATTGATCTGTTTTTATCGTAGCTATACGCTATAGTGGCCCGATAAATGAGCAGCTTTATGCAGAGAAAAGCACGTGAGAAAAATTTCAGATCGATATCTCAAAAACTGAGGGACTAGTGGATAAATGAACATGACTAAATCGACTCAGCTCGGCATGCTGATCATGTATATACTACAAGTATATAATTTATATACATCTGGTCGGGTCTCCGACGTTTCTATATGTTGTAACAAATAACAACGTGACAAACATAATATACCCTTAGGGCATAAAAGTTTTGTCTAAAATCGGTGATTTCATAACCCTAAACCAGCCTTAGATTTCTTAATTTCGGAGCTTTTTTGTGAACTTAAAAAATGTATGGCTAATTTAAAATTTTATTGAAAAGAATATTCTGATAATTTAGTGATAATTTTAGCCCTAGCATGAGAGTCACAGCCATTTTTCATATACATAATAAAGTCATCTATCAGGAAAGCAAAAATATTGTTTAAATTTATCCACGTCATAGCTCTTTCCTCACTAACAATATATGTGTTTCAGTAACAACAAAAATATGCAGAGAGCAGTATCTAATAAAAAATAGAGGGCTAAGTGATGGCTTTTAATCGAGTTTAACCAAAAAGTTAGCCATAATCAAATAGAGTTGTTGTCGTGCAAAAATCTATGAATAGATAAAATCATGTCCCTTTGACCACCCGAAGTACTTGTTAGCAGTAGTTCTCACTTAAATGAATGGGACTCGGATTTTTATTCGGCCAAGGACTATCAACTCGACAGCACTTCTCAAAATCTGAAGTTACAATAAAAATGAGGTATTCTTAGCATTCCGCTATGATTTTCAATCAAATAGGTTGCGTAGGTTTTTAGATAGCGTCAACACCTTCTTTATTGGTACGTATTTATTCCGCCAGCTCTACAAGACGTTTCTTACGAAAACATAGTTCCCGCAGAGCTCAAAATTTCACAATAAGACTAAATAATACTTTTATTGGCTACAGACATATAGACCTTCATATGTACGCTATAGTAAGCTTAACATAGAAAGACAGCATTGAACAGAATATGAAAAAGGCCATAGATTTCAGATATATTAGCCTATTTATTTGCGTATAACTGCGAGAGAAAAGGTAACACATAATAAAGAAAGTATAATCGACAATTTATATCGATAAACAAACGTACTTATGTACTCGTATATATCGGCAATACAAAATTTTAATGGAGTAAAATCTGCAAGTCTGGCATATAGCTCCCTTTTTATTTGCTTTGGCTGGTCATTCGACCAAATCGAATTATTTTTGCCGAAGTCGTTTGCAGAATTCTGCAATTTGAAAAATTATTTGCTGTGACTTACATTACAAATCGCGAATCACGTTTAAACTGTGCACAAATCGGTCAAGCATACTTGCAACAACATAAATAAATATGTGCATGTTCATATGGTTGTATGTGTATATAATATATTGTATGTATATATGCACTTTTCTATTACTTATCAATAAGCAAAAACTATTGAGACACAAAACTAAGCTTTTTGGACCGTCTTTGAAGCAGAGTCATGCTCAGAGGCATATGTATAAACTTGCTAGGGTTGGTCAAAAAATTGCAATTTTTAATAAATTATTTATTAGCGAGTTATAGGGTTCATGGAAAAACAGAAATATGTCCCGAATTACCACCTTTAATTACCTTTAATTAAAAATATCAATTTTCTTTCCATTAAAAACTTTTTGTTAGCAAGTTATAAAAAATTAAAAAATCGGTTTTTTTTATAAAAATGTTTTGTTAGCAAGTTATTAAATTTATGAAAAAAAACAGAAATATGTCACGAAATAATAAATATTTCACCTTTAATTAAAAATATCGATTTTTTTGATAAAAACTTTTTGTTATTGAGTTATTAATTCATGAAAAAAACAGAAATGTGTCACTAAATAAATAAAATTTCAACTTTACTAAACTTTACTACTACTACTTTTTTTTTCAGAAAAACTTTTTGTTAAGGAATTAAAAAATTTATAAAAAAAAGAAATATGTTACGAAATAAATAAAAATTCACCTCTAATAAAATCGGTTTTTATTTCATAAAAAATTTTTTTTAGCGAGTTATAAAATTCATGTAAAAATAAAAATATGTAACGAATTAAAAAAAAGTTTACCTTTAATAAAAAAAGTCGATTTTTTTTCATAAAATTTTTTTGTTAGCTAGTTATAAAATTCATGAAAAAAAATGTCACGAAATAAATAAATGTCACGAAATAAAAAAAAATTTACCTATAATAAAAAAATCGAATTTTTTCCATAAAAAATTTTTGTTAGTAAGTTATTAAATTCATGAAAAAACAAAGATATGTCACGAAATAAAAAAAATTTCATAAAAATATTTTGTTAGCGATTTATGAATTCATAAAAAAAATCGAAAAATGTCACGAATTTATTAAAATTTAGCCTTTAATAACTTTTGAAGAGATGAGTGAGATTTATACAAATATAAAAAACGAGCTAATTTTTTTAAATAGTCTTATGCTAGTTACGAATTTGTATTTCCAATAAGGAAAAAATATAAAACTCATAAACTGAGGACCTTTCTATTAATATTAAGAGCTTATTTTTGTAGACATTTTTTTTGAGGTGTCTACCCACCAATTTTTTGTAATATAAAGTGGAATAAAATTATTAATTTTTTTTTGACCCACCTAATATACTTGTATGCATATACCTACATATGTATATAATAACAGTATGCTGCAACCGCTGCTATCATGAGTAACTACTACTTCAAGCACATAAGTACGTTTATCTAGCAATGAAAGTTAGTTTTGTATACTCGTATGTATTTAGCGAGTCATGACTCAACTGTTGATGCGGCTGATGATGTTGGCGGCTGCGCGACTCGTCGAAATCGTCAGAGATTCTTATCACTCTGCAAATATCGTGGCTTATGGCGGCATCGGCAAGGCTTTTAGCTTTTAGCTTTTCTCTTGCAATTTTATTGTTGTTTTTTTTTTTGTTTGCTTATATTTGTTTGTTGTGGCAGTTTTTCGCATTTTTTCGCCATTTACTTACACTTTATTTAATTTTTATTTTATTTTTCAATATTTAGCATATTTGTGCGATATGCATGCAGAGTTATTGTTGTAGCATTATTATAGTAGAGCCAGCGTTGCTTACGAAAATGAAACCATAGATCCTGCATATGCGATAAACGTCAGAGCAATTGTTGCAAATATGTAGAAAAAAATTGCAAGTAAATAAAAAATGTTTGCTTTGTTACAAACAAAAATGATTAAAAAACAAAATTTAAAAAATCAACAGTTAGTTTTTGTTTTGAATACCTTGAATAGCAAATTTTTTTCTTTTGCACTATTTTATTATTTTTTTATTGCAAACAATACGGCAACAATGCTTGAGTTCTGATCACGATTTAACAACAGCAATTACTTGCGCTTTGATAATTTAAATTTTTTTGCAAATAAATGAATCGAAATGAAGAAATTAAATGTGCGCATGCGCAAAGACAACTGAGACACGCCAACGTGTGCTGAAGCGTTGTAAGAAAATAAGCGAAAATTGTCGAAAACATATGTGAAAGCAGTACAACAATACAAACATTTTCATATTTTTTGTTATTGCTGCCATATGTGGTATGGCGTCCGTGGGACTCTTCCACATTCTAGTGTATATATATATATTTTTTTTTTAATTTTCCTACTTTACCCAACGCCGGATTAATTTTCTTCATCATTATGTGATTTCTGTTATGACAATTGATCTTATCGCTGATGACTTTGCTCATTCATTTGACGCCTTTACTTATTAAAAATCAAGCAAATGTCATAATCGTATTTCTGACACGTGCTCGTAGCTGTCAAATATTTCTATAAGTGCAGCAATTACGACAAATGTCATGTTCAAGTGGCGCTTAACCAATATTCAAGCTCAAATTTTCCCAAATATAATATGGGTCTTATACGATAGTTATTTTTTCTCCTATCTAATCTTGGTTAATGACATTTCTTCTTTCGAATGTGAATAATGTCAAAAATTTGACATTAATTTGAAAAAAAAGTTCTGATACCGATCACAGTCTTGCTCACTCTAACGCATCGTATTCTCAACTTGCATATCACTTGTTTAGTAGAAGAGTTATATAATAATAATGTATAAATTAAAGTTTTTTAAATTGGAAAAAACAATGCCAGAAAGAAAAGTTACCGTTAAAATATTTTAATATAGAGTAAACTATACTAACAACTATAATTTGACAATCCTCTTGGAAGCAAGCATTCTCTAATTTGAGCAAAAGTAATTGGCACTACTTTTTCGCCTCGTTCTTGTATTCTCATCTAGCATACTCTAATACCTAGTATGTTGTTGCATGTCATTTGAAAAGTGGAACTCGAAAGCTTTGCGGTTAAACTATAGAGATTTTTTACGGTTTATTTCTAATCGTAACAGACATTTGAAACCTCAAAACAAAAATTTGGGTTTAAAATTTGTTAAAATTAAAAAAAAAAACTATCAAAAAACATTCAATCCAAGATTTTCAGCAAATCTCAAGAGGTCTTGTGGTATTTTACCGTAACCCAGCGTACAAATCAGCAGGGGGAAAGGGCTAAGTGTTTACATGCATAATTTTCAAAGATAAACTGCTTGCTTAAAGACAGACACGCGTTGCTCAAGACATCATGGCGACCAAAGGATGTGTACTTAACTTTTTTGTACAGTGCAGACCTTTTCCTTTGGGACGTTTTAAATACCTAGGGACTTGGTATTGCAAATTGACCTATTGGATAGTTAGAAATAGAAATAAAAAATAAATTGGATCAGTATTCAGAATATGAAAGACACTAATCATGGAATATCGGCGGTAAGATCGCAGTTCTTAACCAAATCTAAAAACTAGGCTATCGTCCAGCTTCTTTTAAAGTCTACACGAATAATTTATAAGAGAGATTCGGGTTCAGTATATATGTACAAAATATATTAATATGACAGCTTATATATACACATATAACATATACATATGTATATATGTATTTACCCTCATCTGCGCAACATCCTTTACTCCCACGTCAGGCGCTTAAAATCAATCCGTATTATTTATCTCTTAAAAGTTTCGCCAAATCACAATGGCACGCAAGTATCTCCAAATCTCTTTATATCAGCACAAAGCACTCTCACACACTCCCTCAACCTGTGTTGTAGATTAGTGCAACTGATATGCAGGAGCCTTTGAGGCGCATTCGATAATATAGCTACATGCCTCATGCAAATGTTATAATTTGCATATGTACATAGGAAGCCGACCCGCGCGCAGCTTGATACTACTCGCGTCGAGGTGAGTCTGGAGGCGCTGAGTTGTAAAAACAATGCGCACACCTCAGTGCGAGCTCAAGCGCAGCAGGGCGTGGATGAGTGCTGGCAGTATGTGAAAGACAATGACAACACAATGCCAATGGCGCTCGGAGTGACACACATCACTAAATTGCGGGTATAAATATATATACAGGCATAACTTTGCATTTTAGGTGCTGATGCGAGATGTGTGTATATTTATTTTTATTGAAGAGAGGACAAAATTAAAACATTATCCGATTGTGGCAGGTGATAACCTCTTTGTGTGCGGCATGCTGGTGGGCAGGTGGAGCACGTGTTGCTAGACAACTTTTAAATAAATGTATGTAGAGAATTTCTGAGCGTATGTTCGATTGCGTTACTTGCTAACAAATAAAGCTTTTTTCTCGATACTATTTCTGAAAACTCAATTCTAGTTTTAACATTATATTTTTCTACTTGCAGTACCACGCCCAAAGGGACAACACTCTGCACCGCGCGGCGGTCCGCCACGTTCGTGGACGAACTCTGAACTCACCGAAGCACTGCAGCATGTCTGGAACAAGAAAATGACCACCTCACAGGCGTCTCGCATTTTTGGCATACCCTACAACTCGCTGCTGATGTATGTGCGCGGCAAGTATGGCAAGAGTCTGAAACTGGAACAGCTGCGCAAAGACTGTATCAGCGGTCCACCACTCGAATTGCTACAACTGGGTCTCGGCGGCGGTTCGGGTGGCGGTAAAAATAAAGAAGGCAAAGATAAATCCGCACATCGCAACTCAGAGAACTCAACGAAAAATAATAGCGAACTCGACTTGGGCATACCGTTGCCGGGTATGGTGCCCGGCGGTAATGGACCAAGTGGGCCGCGCAGCGCCAGTTCTGAACCCGATTTGATTGGCGGACCCAACTCGCTCTTCGGTCCATTTCCAGGCGCTTTCTATCCCGACTTCCCCGGCGGTTTCCATGGACTGCCGCTAAGCATGCTCAATCTACTCCCACCCACGGATCGTCATCAGCCACACGGCGCTGGCATGACGGCACTACATCATCTCGGCATGGATGAGGACTGCAAATCGGATCGTTCGAAACAATCATCTTCACTCGGCGATGACGACTTTGCTGCCAGCGCAGCAGCATTAGCCGCCGGCGTACAACCGCTTGCGCTCAATCGCAATGAAAACGAACGACGCAGCGGCAGTGACATACTCGCAAATGCCGGCACGGTAGGTGCGCCGCCACCGCCACCACCGCCCATGAGCGCTGCCGTCGGCGGTGGCGGCCAACAGAATGGCGGTATGCAAGATTGAAATTTCTGGCGGGATTGGGCCGCCAACCCCATGTTTTTCCCGCCGAACGACACATACGATGTGGAAGAGGCTATGAATGGCGGTATTGGTTTAGGTGGCCATCACCAGTATCAGCATCAGCAGCACCAGCAACAGCAGCAGCAGCACCAACACAACGAAGCGATGTCTGCGGAACGCAATGCGAACTGCGCCAGCAACGATGCCGCCATCGGCAACGTCGTGCGTGCAGCACATCAGTTTCGTGAATTCAATCAAAACCTTTACATGGCAAGACGCAAGCTGAAGCGTCTGCGTCAACGGCAGTATCGACGCTACGACGCCAACGGACGCGGCAACAATAGTGCGACGGACAGCGGCAGCGCGGATGGTAACGGATTTATGGCGCTGCAGATGGGACCGCCACCAACGTCAGCGTCAGCGGCGTCCTCAGCGTTAACGCTGTCACTACCGCCGGCGGTCATACGCACTTAGTTTAATTTTAACGAAATGTTGTAATATAAATTAAGTTCAATTATTGTACAATATTTTAAGCAGCGTTGGCGAGATGTGGCCGGAAAGTAGTAAATAATAAAATTATATATTATATGTATGTACATTAAGTAAATAAATTAGTGAAAATTTGTGGAAGAGGCGAAGGCCAGTTAAGCAGACAATTTGCATATACTCGTATAAATTATTATAACTGTGAATCGATGTGAATATGTAATGAGCATGCAATATTTTGATATTTTGTTTAATTGTATGTTATATTAAAAAAAAAAAAAACTTGGATTATTTTATTACATATGTATAGGTGTATGTACAAGTATGTATATTTTAAAATATAGATTTTTGCTTTATACAACAACAATAATAACAGCGATATTTTTACAACTATTGTTTATATATACTACCGTTTTTAATTTAAATGTGTTAAAACATAATTTTCTAAAACTAAATTCAAACGAACAGTGCTAGCAAAAAGTGTGTGAAGCAACAAATTTTGAACGCAACTATTTTGCAAAATAAAAAAAAATATCAAAATAAAGTATTTCACAAAAAATTAAATATTTCATAAAAAAAATTTTATATTAATTAAAAATTAATTAATTAAATTTTATATTAATATATTAAAAAATTTGTTCAAAATAAATATTTAAAAAAAAAATTGTTATAAATTGTAAAACTGTATGTGTTTAACAAAATAATGGGAAAATTAATTTTTTTAAGTTTCTGCTCCCACAAATCACGAATTGTGTTCACAACGTTTTCAAATTGAATTTTTATTCTTTTTTTATACCATACCAACTAACAAATTTGAGCCGAACTGACAAAAAAAAAATTTCACGTATTTTAAATGAATTTCAAAAAAGCTCTTATGACCTCGGTTTGTGTGCACAGTTAAACAGACAAATCCGCCTCCAATTCGATTTTACCAGCTGATAAAATTTGACCCGGACTGACAAAAAATTTATTTTACTATAAAAAATTCGGATCGATTCGGTTTGTGTGCAAAGTTTAAATGAATAAATTCGCGACAAATTCGGTTATATCAACTGATCAAATTTGACCCGGACTGACAAAAAAAATTAATTTTAATACCAAAAATTCTCATCGTTTCGGTTTATGTGCACAGTTTAAATAGACAAATCCGCGACAAATTCGATTATACCAACTGATCAAATTTGACCCGGACGACAAAAAAAAATAGTTTTATTACCAAAAATGTTTATCGTTTCAGTTTATGTGCACAGTTTAAATAGACAAATCCGCGACAAATTCGATTATACCAACTGATCAAATTTGACCCGGACGACAAAAAAAAAATAGTTTTATTACCAAAAATGTTTATCGTTTCAGTTTATGTGCACAGTTTAAATAGACAAATCCGCGACAAATTC